AATCGTTGTTCATACCACTCTCTAAATGGGGGGTCCCTTTATATTCAACCCCTTTCAAGAACATTTTTAAATAAATCTTTAAAAGATTACAGAAAAGGTTATAAAACGCAAACTAACAATTATAAGAGAAATTAGATTGACCATGTGTGTTGTGAACATATGGTTAAATTAGCTTCATTTAAGTTCATCTAGGTTAAGTGTTCAAATCAGTCCTCTTATCCCTTCCTAAGCCAGAGTGTATATGTAGAAAATGCCCTACTCCACTAACTAGCTTTGGATTCGTACCAATCCAGGTATCTGTTTTACAAGATACTAACTCAATCTTGAACTCAAGGTTCTGCAATAATAGACTAGTCAATATCCATCTGGATATGACGCTATCTATATTCTCAGGTATCTGTTTTACAAGATACAACTCAGTCTTGAACTCAAGGTTCTGCAATAATACATTAGTCAGTATCCATCTGGATACAACTCTATCTATATTCTCACGTATCTGTTTTACAAGATACAACTGAATCTTGAAGTGAAGTTTATGCAATAATGGACTAGTCAATATCAATCTGGTTACGACTCTCTATCTGTATTCTCAGGTATCTGTTGTACAAGATACAACTCAATCTTGAACTCAAGGTTCTGTAATACTAGACTAGTCAATATCAATCCGGATACGACTCTATCTATATTCTCAGGTATCTGTTGTACAAGATACAACTCAATCTTGAACTCAAGGTTCTGTAATACTAGACTAGTCAATATCAATCCGGATATGACTCTATCTATATTCTCAGGAATCTGCTGTACAAGATACAACTCAATCTTGAACTCAAGGTTCTGTAATACTAGACTAGTCAATATCAATCCGGATATGACTCTATCTATATTCTGAGGTATCTGTTTTACAAGATACAACTCAGTCTTGAACTCAAGGTTCTGTAATAATAGACTAGTCAATATCAATCCGGATACGACTCTATCTATATTCTCAGGTTTCTGTTTTACAAGAATTCTTTCGTTGTTTATCTACAAAAAAATCTTTTCTATCTTAATACGCTCCTGCCTATAAATGCACTCATAATTCATATCGAACTTAGTACTCATCGCTACCAGTAATGGCGACATTTAACGATTTAAATGGCATACGTTTTTTATCACAGAACGTTAATTCTTTGAACCTATCAACTCGTTTTCAATTAAGTGGAAACCTAAACAGATTTGACCAAAAGTTAGAATCTATCTTAGAAAAGAAAACAGAGATAATTTTACTTCAAGATGTTAGGTTAGGTCCAGAAGGTGAAAATATCCTTAAAAAAAGGTTAGAATTCCATAAATACGGATCGTATCACGCATACACAAACTCTACTCAGGCTAGCCGTGGTGTAGCAATATTAATTAAGTCACAATTACCTTACAAAATATTAGATGTTTTGAAGTGTAGTCTGGAGAACTATTTGATTTTGAAAGTTTCATTTCGTGACTCAATCTTCTTGGTCGGTTCAGTGTACGGTCCCACTGTTTTTCAGGACCCCGACTTCTTGGATAACCTGAAGAGAGACATTCTTAGTTTAGGTAATCATGAATTTCTAATAGGTGGAGATCTCAACATGGTAACTGATGCAAATACAATAACTGCCACAAATAATTTCAACTTAGATATTAAAAACATGTTACAGATCCCCAATGTCTCAAACTCTAAAACCCTATCTTCATGGTGTGAAACCGGGTTCACTGTTGACATTTTCAGACATTTCTATCCTGACCGCAGAATTTTCAGTCATGTCCCATTTAACAAAAATGACCACTCAAGATCAAGAATTGATCATTTTTTATGCTCTCCAAATTTTGTTAAATCCTTCTCTAATCTAAGCTACTTGCCTATTACTACAAAGCTCTTTGTCTCAAAGGAGTCCTCCTTGTCCCGGCCAGGAAATCTCCACAAAATCTCTCATTTCTCGATCCCAGTCTTTTGAACATCTCCGGCATGAAGCAGGTCGTTTGTATTGAGACTCTTGGAACCTTCTGTGATTATCTTGATCCTCTGGTTGATCCCCAATTCATCGTTGAGATTAACAGACAGCTCACCTCCGCACGGTCTCTTCTTGCAGATATCATCTCTATAAAAAAATCAATTAATAACTTCCCTAATGATAAACTATTAACTTCTGTAATTGAAAGAAAATGTCATGAAATTGATGAAATAATTGCCCCATTTCTAGATATAAGTGATATAGTTCGAAATAGACCAATTGTAATCGAATATGACAAATTTCTTGAGACCTTAATGAACAATCTTCATAATTGCATTATGTCACACCAGCGTGCACATAAAAAGGTCACTAATATTTTATTAAAAGACATGAGAAATAGAATGTCAGAGTTGCAGAAAATGAATTTAAATACTGAAACCATCCTTTACCAAGAGCAAATTTATCTAGAAAAAAAAATTCTTGATTTTGATGACGAATTAAATCTTCGAAACTGCGCTAGAACTAAGCTCTGGCATTCTATGAACTTTGAAAAACCAACTAAATCTTTTTGTACACTTGCTAAAGCACAAAAGGGTAATGATTCTTTAAAGCAACTTAAAAAATGTGATAATCAGGGCTATATAGTGGATTATGAAAATGATGACGAACGCAACTCTGAATTATGTGATTACTTTAAAAACATTTATAGCAAAATTCCGGAAAAAAATTTAAGTCTTGAACAATTTTTAACCCCAGAAATTATGAATAGTGGGTATGTGCAATCGAAAAAATTATCTAATCTAGACTCTGAGAGAGACAATGTTCCAATTACACATTACGAGCTTACAAAAGCACTGGGAGAAACAAAGATAGGTTCGAGTCCTGGTTTAGATGGATACACCTACGCCATAATTAAGTTTCTGTGGCCTTTAATTGGACATCCTGTAACCAAGGGGTTTGAAATTATGGTTGAAAAGGAAGAACTTTATCCTAATTTAAGAACTGCAAGTATTAAGCATATTCCTAAGAAGGGAGATTGTACACAAATTAAGAATTGGCGGCCAATAAGTCTTTTAAGTAATGTGTATAAGGTATTTTCGAAAGCATTTGCCAATAGGCTAAAACGTGTAATCGACTCAAACACATCCGTCTCACAAAAAGCCTATTCAAAATCTAAAGTCATACATGAAGCTTTAATGAATATATTGCAATTTATTAAGAAAGGAAAACTCGAGAACAAGCGGTTAGCGCTACTAGCAATCGATTTCAAGAAAGCTTTTGATTCGGTATCGCACGAATATATCCTCGAACTCTTAAAATTCTTTAACTATTCAGATTATATGATAAAAATAGTCAGAACCACAATGAAGAAGAAAATAGCCGGCATCATAACTGAGTCCGGTGTTATTGATTTCTTTGAGATATTGTGCGGAGTAGCACAAGGTGACTCACCGTCAGGTTTGATTTTCATACTGGCATTAGAACCTCTGCTCTGGAAGCTGACCTTGGATCTAGGTGTCGTTCATCCCGTCTTCGAAAACGGCTCTCAGGTGTCCGATAGCAGCTATGCCGATGATGTATCCATACTTGTAAACGGCGAACCTGAAAATATCGTAAATGTTAAAAATATACTTGATGAGTTCGGCAGATTATCGGGCCTAATAATTAACGTAGAAAAAACTCAAGTTTTACCAATTAATGTTTTGCCTAATTTTGCTGAAAATATTGCTGGAACTGGCTTCTCGATTGTGAGAAATTTAACAATCCTGGGGTTGGATATCAGCGAAAATTTTCATTTGGAGGAAACTAATTTTAACAAGCTCATGGTGAAAATTAGAGGAATGTCGATATTTTGGTCAAAATTCAAACTATCAATTGTTGGTCGGATTAATATCGCAAAAACATATCTCCTGTCACAAATCGGGTTTTACGCCCCTGTGGTCGCGTTTGGTGAGACTCAATTGCAAACCCTCAGAAATGAGATTGGCTCCTTTGTGCGAGGGAGTTTGAAAATAACAATAAATACGGTATACAATGCAATACAGCAAGGAGGCCTAGGAATGATTGGGATTGAATCTTACATAAACGCGATCAGGGTTGGGTTTTTCAGGAGATCAATTAATAATGACGATTTTTGGGCAAAAGAAATTCAGAGTTTCAGAATATCTCAAGATTTCCCTTTTCATTTTAAAAGCTCAATAGCAACGAACACTCCGTGTGGAGAATTATCAGTTTGCGTTCGAAATTTCTGTAATTTTTTCTGGTCGACGAATGGTAATTTTCTTGATATGAGAATATACGATAACGACATTGCACGACTAGAATCCGGCGAGAAACTAAACAGGAACCATTTCAGAATAAATCTAACACTTGAAAAAATTTCCCTAATCAAGAAACTAAGATTCGTCCACCTAGTAGACATTTTTGATAGGGATACCTTCTCAGAAAATAGTATAACTCTATACCTTGGGTTTCGGCCAAACGAATTAGAATTTTTCTATTTAAAATCAGTACATAGGAACGTGAAGAGAAAATTTTTACTAAACAAAGACAAAGTCTGTACTCCAATCCTTACCTTCTTTAGAAAAATAGTTAGGGGTAGTGTTAAGTTAAGAAGAATCCTTGATAATTTTAATCCGGAAATTGAACTAGGGATTGGGCTGAGAAAGCGCTTTGCACTTGCATATTACAACAATGTAGAACCTGAGAGAGATTGCAACTTTTATAAAATTTTTAGAATCTCTAAGTTAAGAAACAACCTGAGAAGTTTTATTTTTAACTTCACATCCCAGACCCTATACCATAATGCAATGATTGCACATTTTGTACAGGATCACGACCCTACATGCCAACGGTGCGAGTTTGGATATCTTAGGCCTGCACCGAGAGAAACGATCTCTCATATTTTCTGGGACTGTCCCAAAATAAGTGATATCCTAAACGATCTTAACCTTATAATATCGAATGGAGTCCTATCAAATGATGAACTTAAAATTACAATATTTTTAGGATGTAGCAATCCTTTAACTTTTAATATTGAAACTACCAACATTATTTGCTTTATAGTTATGTACTATATATTTTCTACGAGGAATAATAGACAAATATACAATACTTCCAAGTTAAAGCAATTTCTTTTCTATCACACTGCTAGAATTAACAAACCCTTGTTTGATGAATACGAAAACGAAACCTAAACTGTTTTTTCCTGCAATGTATAGTATTAACTTAACCGATGCCGCAAGGTGGACAATAATAATTGCAACTACCACAACAAAGGTCTCACCATACCAAACCATGACGTCGCTACACAAGACAAGTCAGCCATTTTGTGTTGACCTTAAGACGAAAACTCTACGTAATTTACGTTGTAGGCTTGTTTCGTTCTACATCAGAATAAAGCAAATAATATTGTTTAAAGCAGAATTCTTTAAAAGTCGATCCTACAAGGATGATTATAACAAATTGTGTAAGTTAAATTCAGTTGAGATTACGAAAATATTAAAAGTTTATACTCATCAAATTAGACTGATTCCCGTCACAAGAAAATTTTCGGATTCAATACAGAAAAACTTTGTTCTTGCTTTGACGACAATAACAGTTTGTTGGCCGATACGTACATTCCACAGTCACTACCAAAATTTTTCTTTTATGCGGATTAAAAATTATAACATGATTTGCGATCCTAGTAATATTAAAATCTTTTTCAGACGTAAATTTGATGAAATCATGTCAGGAGACGACCATGAACAGTCGCCTATGGACTTGGGAGACAATTCTGCTGACGATATAGTGAGGATGCTCGACCAACACAGGGAGGATAACGCTGAGTTTGTTGAGGTACAAACGCAATTGATACGCAATATAGGGACGGTCTTTGGACAAAAGGTAAAAAGTAACTCTGGTACAACCCCATTTGTTGATGTTAGCAAAGGTAGCAATGTAACGAACATGGATAGAATGTATTTTAGAAATTTAAATCCGATTACAGCCGAGGTTAATAAAAAGGACAGCTCTATGGATGGGACGGGTACACTTCCTGGGTTTTTGGAAAAGGGCAAGGATGTCACATGTGATGAAATACCGCCGTCTTGCATTACACCATATAAAAATATCTCTAGTTTTCTAAGCAAAAATGTTTTTCTTGCAAAAAAGCGTGTATGGAAACAACCACCTGATACATGTACTCCCGTCATTCCTTATAATGCCCCTAGCTTAACCTTAATACAAACGGAAAATGGTGGTAAGGCAACAAAAAAACTTCCTGTCGAAATAAATATTAATGCGCCACACTTCTACGGGGAAAGAAAAGCAGGATATGCCATGGGGGTTGCAGATTTTAACTGTAAGGAAAGTTACACATCCACCTTTGACTTGTTGCGCCGCTGTAGAATCTGCTCGATAGAGCACGACGTTTTCCCCCAAGAACTCGTCGGAACTCTAATCGTCGGAGATGCTTACACGCCGTGTTACATGGGCGGAGGAGGTGGATGCGTTCCCATTTTCAGATTACATAATGCATCCTTCAGGGAAATTGCATACAAATTACGGTTCCTGCTTAAGACAAGAAAGAGTAATGACGGACAATTTTTGGGAACCCCCCGTTTAATTATCATCTCCCTTCCAGCCTACCTTAAGGCTGTCGGTGCGTCAGTTTACCTGGATGAATTCAACAAATTTAAATGTTGGGCCATGCACTTTCTATCCTCAAAGGAGGACATCAATCCGGCAGACCATCGCATTTTCAAACCATGTTTAACTCCTGTCCGTGTTTATGAAGGATTCGCTTTATACAAGCAAGGGGACCTAGGTTTGGCAGAGTCCTTCACAGTAATTGCAAGGAGCTTTGATATCTTAACTGCCGTAGAGCCTACTCAAGATCATGGATTTTTTTACGATGCAATGGAAAGAACAATGACAAATTTCTGTATTGACCCCCCCCCTAAACAGGAGTTAACCGGTTATGTAGCAATTGAACCAGTTACGCGTGATTTCACTGTGTACGACTATAAAGTCAAATTTACTGGCCTGCCGGCGCCACTAGTTGTAGATGGAATCATAGACCCCGCGGTCACATTATTCTTTACCAAACAACTTGTATCTATAATCCATTCCTGGTACGCAAAGAACGGTTTGGAAAACTTTATTTCGTCACTCCCCGGGATTGAAAATTTAGTTGGTGAGAACAAGTCCGATCAAGAACGACAGGAAGTTTTTTCTGAACTCCCCTTTCAAGGTGGCGCGGATAAAAACAATAGAGTCCTTATTGCTGGAAATAGCAACTTTGCTATGATACATGCTGAGCTTTCAAAATCACTTGATGAAGAAGTTGTTTACATTAAATACCCGTTTAATGCATTTGCAAAACCCATTGAAATACAAAACTTCATTGATAAACTTAAACTGAGAAAAGGTGACATTCTTGTCCTAGAGGGGCAAGGGAATTCTCTTTTTCAAGGCATGTTGACCCCTAAGTACAAACGACACCAGCCTTCAGGATCTCCCGCTGAACATGTCCAAACCGGCAGTGGTAAATCTAAGGTATACCATGTTATCAATGCTGCACCATACGATGCGGAATATTTCAACGTTTTCGGTATTTTTTTCAAAAATATGATGGAAAATATCTCCAAATTTGAAGCAAAAGTTGTCATTGTAACTCCTTTTCCTAGATATATGAGATCATGCTGCACACAAGCTGGACATTTTTATGCGGGTTTTTCTGGAAATGAATACAATGCCGAAATTATCAGATTAGGAACCTTCCTGTCTAGACTACCGTCGGTTGCGGGGTCGTTTGTACTCACCCCTGAAGATTTTTGTGATCGAGATAGCTGGGTAATTAGAGGAAACATGATATGCGATGATTATATTCACCTTACTCCTAAAGCCATAAACCTTGTCCGGGATTCTATACAGAGATGCGTACATTATCTTAGAATTGTCCCGGAAGTACCCGTTCCATCGTTAGGTACCTGTGTTCCTGAGAAAATGCTATTTTCTGACTGGATAGACCGTTTCCGCTCAACTTGTGGGTTTGATGACTTGAGGTCCTCAGGCAACGCTAAACGTCAAATGCCCGATCACAAATCTGAAAGGCCAGCTAAACGCTAAAGCTTGTCTTGCCTCTGTCCATGGGCCTAAAACCTATGCCGTATTATTGTGTACCTTGTCAGATGAAGCTTTTTCTCCCCTAAATATGGCTTAGCGTCCAAAACCTTAAAACAGCAATCTTAAAGCTATAACCAGAGTATGGAGGGAAAAACATTAAAACCACAGAACTAGCTCCAATAATATGTTTTAAACCTAGAGACTCATTTGTCTCAGAATGAGGAAACCCAAAACTATGCCTTAAACGAAAATGATCGGGAAACTTCACAAGTCCTACCAACCGCTGGACATACTGTCTACAGAAATCTGCTATTTTATAACGGTAAAAGAAAAGAAAAAATCCATATTTGTAAAACTTTACAATTAAAATGTCGTTCTTTTCACATTTCCAGTAAGGCCTTGGAAATGAAATTAAAATCAGTGTGAATTTGGATATATATTAACATTCTAACAAAATAATGGGGGTATTTGTTACCAGAAGAATCTCCCCACCCCCACCAGACTTCTTTTTTCTCCACCATTATAAACGATATGCTGTTAAACTACTTTTCGTTTTTTAGCTATTACAATGTTTCAAACCACCCATATAATAACAGGTCTACAATATTAGCAAGAAACTCATACCCCCCCCCCCCTCTTAATCATCTTTACAATGATCTTACAAATGTAATATATTAGTACTAAAAGCTCACAAAGTTCCTATTTTTAAGAACATCACCATACATACCCCTCCCCTTTATTTTGTCAAAATTAAAAGTTTATAATTTAAATTTGGTTTCTTTTTCCTAAATCTATGCTTTGAATACCTGTTGTACGACTGATAGATCATTTTCTGGATGTTTATGTCTCAAACTTTCTCAAATTACTTACTACGTCTTTTTAATTGACGAGTTACAAACGCATAAACACAGGTATAATAAACGTTTTTATATATATTCAGCTAGGGTCAGAGCTTAAGAAACTCGAGATAACCTGTACCTGTTCCCCATGTAGCTAAGAGGATGGATAATTTCAACTTTAAATACATAACGGTAAACAAATATATTTCCCCGCAAGGAGCTGATTCGAGAAATTTTTCAGTGGTTCCTAGTTTCTTCTATACTTTAGCAAAAACATGCTTTCAACATTTCTTTCCTTGTTTTACTACAGAATCCAAACTACGCATACGATTATCTGACTAAATTTTCAATGAGCCCCAATTATAATAATTTATTACTAATTACTAAAAGCTCAACTGTTCCTATTTTAACTCTGAGTTTTTGGAATTAGTGGGTTGCAAACTCATAAACATAGGTATAATAAACTCCTTTATACTAATTCAGTTAGGGGCAGAATTGAAGACACCTAGTACCTGTTAATCATGTTCCTGAGAGGTTTGACGAATCCAACTTCACACGCGCATAACGGTAAAAAATAGATTTCCACGAGGAGAGCTGATTCGAGATTTAATTATGTATAAATACAGGGTTAAATATTTTTGATATAAAAAGAACCCCCCCNGTTAAACTGCTTTTCGTTTTTATTTTTCCGTTTTTCTTTTGTATTATTATAATGTAGTTTTAACCCCTCCCCCCCCCCTAAGTAAAAACGGGTTTATATTATTAAGAAATTTATCCCTCCTCCCCCCCATCTTAGGCATCTTATGAACGTAATATTTGAAAAATAAAAGCAGATCAATTAAAATATACGCGTGCACGCATCTATATACAAAATCTCTTATAACAAGTATGTAGCTTATAGATGTAATATAATTTTGAAATCCGATAATGCTTTAAACCTAGGATAGACGTACACAGACCTGGAGCCTAAATATTTTAAAAAAAGCCTCGTACAAGTATCTTGATTGAAATTAAAAAATTAATTTAAAATATATATAAGTACTAAACTACGAATATCATCGCTAAGAGTATCAAGGTAAATGAACCTGGAACCCGTTGTAACATATACCCATATAGTAATGACGAATATGAACCTGGAACCCCTTGTAACATATACCCATATAGTAAGGACGTATATAAACCTGGAACCTGTTGTAACGTATACCTATATAGTAAGGACGTATATGAACCTGGAACCAATTTCATCGTACTCCTCGTATACGTGTCCGGATAAATTAATTAAACTTTCTATATACATTTGTATGCTGAATAACTAATTTATGACTGACAGATTATTCCTTATATGTTTATGTTTCAACGTTTCCTATTTTAACATTGAATCTTTAGAATTGATGGGTTGCAAACTCATAAACACAGGTATAATAAACTCCTTTATATGTATTCAGTAAGGAGCAGAACTGAAGAGTATCAAGATGTATGAACCTGAAACCCGTTGTAACATATACCCATATAGTAACGACGTATATGAACCTGGAACCCGTTATAACGTATACACATATAGTAAGGACGTATATGAACCTGGAACCTGTTGTAACGTATACCTATATAGTAAGGATGTATATGAACCTGGAACCTGTTGTAACGTATACCTATATAGTAAGGACGTATATGAACCTGGAACCATTTTTATCTCACGCCTATTATAAGTGTCCTGATAAATTACTAAGACTTTCTATGTACAGGTGTATGCTGAATAACCGTGACGCATGCTGCCCCGGCAGCAAGGATAGTGGTCTGAAAGGAGGGCCAAACACTACCTGAAAATCGATCTCTACCCTGCCGATCTAAAATCGGTCATTTGTATGCGAGGGGTTACCCTCAATGTTAGCCTTCCTCGCATTCATATTTCAGCGAATATTTGTTAATTTTCAAGTTTTAACTCGGATTGTTCCCTATAACTGTTTGGATTAACTAGAATCGAAACNAAAATCGGTCATTTGTATGCGAGGGGTTACCCTCAATGTTAGCCTTCCTCGCATTCATATTTCAGCGAATATTTGTTAATTTTCAAGTTTTAACTCGGATTGTTCCCTATAACTGTTTGGATTAACTAGAATCGAAACGGTCTTAAATTTATACAACCCGGATCATTTATTTTTTTTCCCACAGAAACTCAGCTTATCGAAATTAAAGATTGATCTCGGAATGCACTATGATCACTTTTGATTTTTTACGGAATTAAAGGAAACCAGTTAAAGAATAAAAAATAATAAAATTGGTTGGCATTCCATGATGTAAAACGTCTCTGTGCAACGATACACATAGAGTTTATTATCTTAAATAGTTTAACTGTAACACTAGCTATAAACACATTATAGCAAACCTATATTATAAATGCTTTTTTTCGTGTAAACTCTTTAACAATATATGTATAGTATTGTAAAATTAAATATGTTCACGAAAATAAAATAAATATTTAGTTTTAAAAATATATTCTGAGGTATCTGTTTTACAAGATACAACTCAGTCTTGAACTCAAGGTTCTGTAATAATAGACTAGTCAATATCAATCCGGATATGACGCTATCTATATTCTCAGGTATCTGTTTTACAAGATACAACTCATCTTGAACTCAAGATTCTGCAATAATAGACTAGTCAATATCAATCCGGATACGACTCTATCTATATTCTCAGGTTTCTGTTTTACAAGATAAACTCAATCTTGAACTTAAGGTTCTGCAATAGTAGTCTAGTCAGTATCAATCCTGGTACAACTCTATCTGTAGTCTCAGGTATCTGTTTTACAAGATACAACTCATCTTGAACTCAAGGTTCCGCAATAATAGACTAGTCAATAACAATCCGGATATGATTTGTATTCTTAGGTATCTGTTTTACAAGATACAACAAAATCTCAAACTTAAGGTTCCTCTCTCGTTGTAACTAAACGAGTAAAAAAATCACTCTCTCATCATAATCAAAGCAGAGTATTTTCAAACTAATGTATATTTGGGTTCTATGATACAAGTTAAGTTAATCAACGTAATTACAAGTGTTACCACTATAATTTCTGTAGAAGTAAATATTTCCCTTTACTGATAGCGTCCAATTGAAGGATTCATAACTCTGATTGGATAATAAGATAGATAGAAAGATAGATATTACCGCCATACTATTTCTATTGATTCAGAATAGACAACACACACATGACTGAACCCAGATTGGATCAAGCGCTAATGGACTCGGCATACAGGAGTGTTACATAGTTATTTACAGGTGTAATTAAGCTAAATCGTAATAACCATCTTACGTAGTTATTTACAACGTAGGAAAATAATAGAATGCGTAATTAGGTTAAAAATGATATGAAATGTAGTTCAGGTTTACACCTATAGTGTTATGACGATATTTATTACATATAAAGAAATTTGTTATGAGTGGGGGGGGGGGGCTTGATAACCCCTTAGGAGCTATAACATTTTCTTATCCAAGGGGGGGGGGGGTCCTTAGACTCCTATCCTATGAGCCTTGAATTATAAGATTTACAAAGCGGTTCATGCATTAGACTCTTAACACTTGAATTAAACTCATCTAAGTCATGAAAGGAAAATCCTGACAGTTCCAAAATATTTGCACGTTTCTTGTTCTTATTAATATCTAAAAATAAACAGTGTGTACAACAGTTTTTACGAATACACAGAAAGTTTAAATACAAAATATTTTACAAAAAACATTTAGTCTTACTAACTATCTAATAAAAATAATGCTTAAAAATGCCGGTTTTGTTTTAAGTCTATATCTTTTTAAAACCCTTTAAACCTATTTAATTTTTAACATTATAACAAATTAGATTTACAATTTTTATTTAAAAAAGTTGTTCATCGTCGAAAAATGCTAACCACCCGATTATATAAAAAATGCAAAATGAATTTGTGACTTTTCTTCCATTTTCCTTTTTTATTTTTTTATTTGTTTTATTTCTTGTAATTGTTTTTTTTGACATTTACTCATTTAAATGTTTTCTCTGTATTTAAATATATGTTGAAACAGCTGAACTTGTTTAGAACCCAAGAGACAAAAAGTTTAACCTTCTGAACAATTTCGAATAATAACAAATTTGGTAATCCCCCCCAAAAAAATCGCATACATAGTTTTGTTATTATTTAATAATGTACAAAAAATGCTTCAGAGACATGAAAGTTGATTTTTAAATTGTATCTCTCGCACCTTGAAATCGACCACAAATTTGGACACCCTGTTAATCTGAGTCTCTTTTTATACCAAGGTGTCTTGAGGTCACCCGGTGAACTTTGAGGTCATAAGATTTTGCATGTTGTTTATCAATGACGAGACAAAAATCAACAAATTTCAAAGTCATAAAACTCTAGTGTTTATTGCATGAATGATGTTAATCGGAAACAATAATTGTTCCAGATTTTTATAAACATGACGTCTTAGATTTTTCATGTTACCTTGTTATATTCTAGAACCAGTAAGCTATGGACTAAAATGTCGTCTTTATTCAATTATTACTTAAAGAATGTTGCCTAAAATTTTGTAGCTTTTAATTGTTGCACTGATTTTTCTAATCTCTAAAACTTCACAGAAAATTAAGAAAAAAATAGTTTAGTCGAGCTTGAAACCCAGGTTCATGATTTTAAAAAAGACGACCAGAACTTTAACGTTTTTTGGTTTTTACTGTAGTCATTCACGGTCGTAAATAACGTTCTTATTCGTAAAACCAAAATGTGATATTTATATAAAGTAACTTAATCATAAAAAACAAACGTAGAAAACACGGAAAATATAAAAAACTGATTAAACAGAAACAATGAAAGTATAGCCAATAAAAAAAAAATAAAAAAGTGAGAAACGGGAAAAAATGGAAAATGTGAAAAATACAGAAATTAGCATGCATGGTGCACGAACTTATAAAAGAGAAGAAACATAGCTAAATAACGTATGAAAGCTTTGACAAAATTATGAAAATCTACTAAAAATTGAATATTAGGGAAACATCAAAAAATGTAAAAATATGAAAATTATAAGTATGGAAAATATAAAGAATACATATACAAAATAAACCCTTTTATAAAGTAAGAAAAAAATATTAGAAAAAATGAATATATCTTAATTCTCATTTTACCCCAAGCTGTGTCCGTACTCAGTATACCTTTAAATTCCTGCATAGCTTCTGATCTATGTCTACTGTTACAAAACCTTGGATTTAAAACACGACTTATCCCCCCTTCCTTCCAACCCCTCCCCCTAGCCCCCCCCCCAACTCTTAACCCTGGCCGGGGGGTGTTCATGAACTGTTTAATAACTAATACACGGCACGAAATTTACTTCTGTAGATTGTTTGGGAAAAACGTTTAAGGACATTTTCGCCGTGAGTACATAAGGAGATTTGCAATGTACCTAGTTTATCATATCTAGTCTTCTACTATATACTAGCTAACTAGCTGCATTTTTTGTAAATAGCTTATTCTGTAGGTTCTTTGGCAGGTTTAACTTCAGATAGGTACTGCATGGTTCTAGTAATATAGCTTCTTGTGTAGCTAGCTTCTTGTGGAGCTAGCATCTTGAATAGGTAGCTTCTTGTGTATATAGCATCTTGTCTTGATAGCTTCTTGTATTGATAGCTTCTTAATCTTGTATAGATAATTTCTTGTATAGATAACTTCTTGTATAGATAGCTTCTTGTATAGATAGCTTCTTGTATAAATAGCTTCTTGTATAGATAGCTTCTTGTATAGATAAATTCTTGTATAGATAGCTTCTTGTATACAGATAGCTTCTTGCATAGATAGCTTCTTGTGTAGATAGCTTCTTGTGTAGATAGCTTCTTGTGTAGATATCTTCTTGTGTAGATAGCTTCTTGTATAGAAAGCTTCTTGTATAGATAAATTCTTGTACAGATAGCTTCTTGCATAGAAAGCTTCTTGTATTGATAGCTTCTTGTATAGGTAGCATCTTGTAAAGATAGCTTCTTTAATAGATAACTTCTTGTAGAGATAGCTTTTTTAATAAATAACTTCTTGTATAGATAACTACATGTGTATAGATAGCTTCATATATTTAAATAACTTGTGTAGATAGCTTCTTGTATAGAAAGCTTCTTGTATTGATAGCTTCTTGTATAGGTAGCATCTTGTAAAGATAGCTTCTTTAATAGATAACTTCTTGTAGAGATAGCTTCTTTGATAAATAACTTCTACAGATATCTACATGTGTATAGATAGCTTCTTATATATATAACTACTTATATATATTATATTTAACTACTTGTATAGATAGCTTCTTGTACAAATATGTATAGATAGATTATTGTACATCTAGCTTCTTATACTGATAGCTTCTTGTATAAATAGTTTCTTGTATAGATAGCTTCTTGTATAGAATACTTCTTGTATACATAGCTTCTGGCATAGATAGCTTCTTGTATTGATAGCTTCTTGTATAGATAGATTTTGAGTGAGAGCGTGCATATTTTGGATCACAGGTCAGGTAGCTTCTCTAAAGATAAATATTAGTTCTTAAAAAGAAATCTACTAAAAAGATATAATATATTAAAAAATATAAAGTTTCTGCTATTTTTTAGTGACACTGACAATCCTTTTTATCATCGAACATCTGTCATCAAAATCAACCATAATCTGTGAATCAATTATGATTGTTATAAATATTAAGAAATATGTAATTTAAATGCATTACCAAGGAAAAGTTCATGTCTGACCTTTATTTTCAAATCCTTGCAATTCAACGTTTAATTCCTAGTTTGCACGGCACAAGGCCATTTTTCTGCACAAAATAGGGCTACTGCCTCACCAGAATAGATAGTTAGATATAAATAGATAGATAGATAGATAGATAGATAGATAGATAGATAGATGGATAGATAGATAGATAGATAGATAGATAGATAGATAGATAGATAGATAATAGATAGATAGATAGATAGATAGATAGATA